ACTTGTCTCCCTTCTTGAATATTGGTATGATAAGTGACTTACCCCAGTCTGATGGAACCGTCTCTGATTCCCAGACGTTACCTAGTACCTTAGTTAAACTATATACTAGTATGTCACCCCCATATTTAAACACCTCCTGAATAATTCCGTCGGGTCCTGCCGCTTTGCCTCGTTTCAAATTACAGATAGCTTTGGTGACCTCACTTGCAGACGGCGGGCCAGTGTCTATATCCCATTCGGGTGTGTGCTGGATGGCGGGGAGGCTCAGTGTGGCTGTAGGCAAGTTAAATTGTTCCTCAAAGTGTTGACTTACCCTCCTTACCTAGCACTCGACCGATGCCTAACCTCAATAACACTCACCCTGTTATACCACCTAAAGCGGTAAATAGAACGCAGACACCTATGATCAAAGACAGGTAGCTGGCCATTCCGTATATTTCCCTTTCAATGGTCGCGTCTCACAGCCATAAAAGAGGGAGGAGCGAACTGCTAAGCAGTACGCACATCCTTTGATCGATAGCCAGACGGATATCTCGTCTACGCCAGATATGGCCTTCTGTATCCGTGACGAGATGTCAGCGACCAACCTTCTGGGGCTGATGCAATTTCCCAAACAAGTGAAGTGATCAACACGCTCAGCCACCACTTCACTCCATATGTTTAAGCTAGGAGAGAGTCAATGTAGTCCAGTCCAGCCAAGTCCTTTAGCATCATCTAATATTTGACAGGAGTGAATCGCATGCCGAATATTCGAAGATTGCTGCCTCTCAAGGGGTTTAGAAGACTCTGCATTTTGTCAGCATCTTCACCTAGTTAAGAGGACTATACTATCTGCATACTCCAAGTCGACGAGATTACTCTCTAATAACAAGTCAATTTCTGAGTTGCTGAAGTCAGTTAGAGTTAAGACTATTAGTACATCTATGCTGAAATTAAACAGAAATGGGGACAGTGGACATCCATGACGGACACCACTGGTTGTTATCTTTTCAGATGACAACACTCCGTATGCTCTTACCTAGCTACTTGAGTTCGAGTAGGGTGCATTGATTAGTGATGTACTTTCTTGATACTTACTTCATGGCCAAACGTCGTTATAATATGTCTCAGTTAACGGAGTCGAATTTCGCGTTCCGGTCAAGAACTATGCTCATTCTTGGACACCGGTGAGTATGCATATGCTTCAGTATCTGTCGAACGGTGAAGATACGATCAGTACAACCTCTTCTTGGTCATCACCACTGAACAAAGCTTGGAATGGCAGTCACCTCTCCATCTCAACTTCATCGACTTTGAAAAGGCCTTCGACAGAGTCAATCGAGAGGTGCTTTGGCAACTACTTCGCTACTACCGGGTGCCACCGTAAATTATACATCTCATCCAACAGCTGTACGACAATGCTGCATGCCAAGTAATCCACAACGGGAAGCTCACGGAATCCTTCGAAGTGAGGACAGGAGTAAGACAAGGCTGCTTACTATCACCAATGATTTTCCTGATTGCAGTAGACTGGATAATGCGACAAAAAGCGGGCAATGAGGAAACAGGCATAAAATACTCACACAAAAACACTTCGAGGATCTGGACTTCGCCGATGATATGTCTGATTTCACACAAACTGGAAGATATGCAAGCGAAAAACAACAAGTTGGCAGAGGAAGAAGCACCAAAGACAGGACTTCAGCTGAACATAGAGAAAACAGAGGTGATGAAGATTCCTGGCCAATACCACCAACAGCAACAGACAACGATCAGCATAAATGGCAGGAACCTGAAAGAAACAACCTCCTTTACCGACCTACCTATCTGGGAAGTATGGTTTCAACTACAGGCAGGCGGAAATGACGAGGATATCAAAGCAGCGAGGATCGGGAAAGCAAGGCAAGATTCCACTACTCTCAGATCTGTGTGGAGGTCAAGAGCACTACTCAGCATGAAAATGAAAATAAGATCCGGATTTTCAACTCCAATGTGAAGTCAGTGCTATTATACGGATCACAGACTTGGCGCGTCACAAAAAGCATCTCAAACAAACTAAAGACATTCATTAACAGTTGTCTTCGCTCAGTACTCAAGATCAGATGGCCGACCAGAAAAGATCAGCAACAGAGAACTCTGTCAATGAGCGAACCAACCAGAAACCGATTGTGAAAATAAGGAGGAAGAAATGGAGGTGGATTGGCCATACTCTGAAGAAACCATCAAGTGACATCACTAGACAAGCCATTGCTCGAGTGAAACCCGAAAGGGAAGCGGCGAGTTGTTCGTCAGTGCGAGGGTGACTTGGAGGAAGTCATGTGAAGAGGAGATGAAAACGTGTGGACAGACTTGGAGCCAGGTGAAGACTCTAGCAGAGAACCGAACGCAATGGAGACGCGTGGCTGAAGCCCTATGTTCCTCTAGGAATTAAAGGAAACAATATTAATAATAATTGGTCTAAAGCCTGTTCGGTTTTCTCGGGTTTGTCTCTCCCCGAGCACCACATAATCTACACATGAATACTGAACCTAGAAATCAAGATACTATCACCAGTCAAGTGAATCTCACTATGATTATCATAAGAAGGACTTGTCTGTCTTCTTGAATTATAGAAATAATCAATAACTTAGACCAGTCTAACGGGACTATCTCTGATTCCCGACACTGCTATTTGTCCCCTCTGGAGTCATTCCATTAGTTCTTGTTGCTTTGCCGCATTTCAGATTTACAGACAGCCTTTGTAACCTCAATTACAGATAGACCACCGATGTCGACATCACAGCCTCTCACTAGAACTCCAGGTGACATTTATGTACATATATATATATATATATATATATATATATATATATATATATATATACAGTATTCGTCAATTATCAAATTTGAAAGGCGACACCAGTAATCCTTCGTAAAACACCAACCAACAACGGCAAGAACAAACAATAAGAACACAAAACGGAGCCTAAGCAAAACCAATTAACGGTGATCAAAAAAAGACAATCATAACCTTGTTTATTTATTTGTCGGTTTATTATTATTATCATTTTTGTTTTAGTGATTAACAAAAGAAAAATGACCAAGGTCATTTTGACCCGACCTTGATAATAGTAATAATAACAATAATAATTATTATTATTATCGGATATATTATTATCATCGCCATTCATTTTGTTTTATCATTTCGATATGACAAAAAAACAGAGTAAGTGAACAACAATGGATGAAAGGACAAAATAGAGACGACATATACTACTACTACTAACGATAATAAGTAGTGGTAGTAGTAGTAGTAGTAGTAGTATGTGATAGGTAAACAGCAAAAAAGTATGAATTGGGACCAACAGAATAAACAAAGAAACAAACAAAAAACGACAATAAAAACACTGTTTTCATCAAAATAAACACTCAAACAAAGTCAGCTAATTTACAAATTTTGCTCGATAGCAGTAGTAGTGACAGATAACAATAACACTAGTAGTTGTAGTAGTAGTAGTAGGTGCTGCGCATCAACGAAGGTTAAAACAAACCTCTGTGTAACCACCACCACCCGTCCGCAAAAGAATAAAAACTGGAATAAAACGAATATGGGGCGCATTTTCAAATACATGTGTTATTATGGTTAACTATTATTCTTATTATTATTATCAACGAAGAAGGGACCAACAGTCAAAAATAGGAAGTCAATAATAATATATTAGAGAAGTAGAAGAATGGCTGCTTTTTGAGAATAACACCCCCCCAGCTCCCGCGCCTCCTTTTCCTCCGAACTCTAAACACCTGCACACGCACACGCACACACCCGTTTCACCTTTTGCATCTCTTTTTTAAATGAAAATACATGATCTGTCCGATTATTTGATGCTTGGTAGTAGTAGTAGTAGGAGTAATTGTACTAGTAGTTGTAATATTAACCCTGAGTTGCGATATAATACTTCGCCAGAATATTTTGTAGTAGTACACAGAGGAGAAGTAGAAAATAATAATGATAATAATTGTAATAAACAATTGAGCACGACATTGAAACAGAAGAATACATCCCTCCGGCACAAATGTACACATAAACACACACACGCGCACAAATACTGATGAGATATGAGCATATGTTGAGATAGATGAGACTGTGAACAAAGTATCAACAAAAAAGAACACCCAGTCAAATATGTATCCCTTTGTGTGTAGATATATATGAAGAGTTGTCAAAGGTAGGCATTGACTTCAGACGTGAGCACACAAAGAGAGACACACGCGCGCCCGCATCGAAGGATAACACCACTACTGACTGACTGTAAACGGCAATCAGAATGAAATGTGAGAGAGAATATATAAAGAGAATAGTTATATGACAATAAAAAGAAGGAAAGGACAACAATATTACGTAACAAGATAAGAGAAGAGAAAACTAGGATCAACGCACACAAATACACACGCAATTATATAATAATAAACAACCACAATGTTTATTGAAAATCCTAACTTCAATGCGATACACGAGAGTAGAGTAGCACACGCAGTAGTAGTGGCTCGTGTAGTAAGTAAATGTATCTGTTGTTGTGGATAGAGTGAGTACAAAAACTTTTTGTAAACTCTGAATAATTAGTCATAATACGGTGGATGATAATGACGGTGGTGGCTGACGACGTCAGATATCGCAACTGTACAACTGTATTCCATGGTATTAGTATACACAACAATAACAATGATAATGAAGATGACGATAAAGGCAGCAACAGGAGCAACAGTAATGAAGTAACCGTAACGGGAACAAGCGTGTCTGCACACACGAGGACACACACACACACGCACAGGAGGCATATTCTCAAAATTAAACTGTAAGGACAGAAGAAGAAGGGAGAGAGAGAACGAATAAAGACAACTAGATTTTTAGATATTAAAAAAAGAAAGTAGAGTCAGAGAAGTATGAATGGTAACACCAGGGTAATCGTAGGGTTGTTTTTGTCAGTTTACTTTCAGCTCAGTGATCCGGATCAGGGTCAGGGATTCTGACTATGAGTTACACACATGTAGAGTGTGAAATCTGTTAATACTATACTAACAGAGGTTGAAGTAAAATGGAGAGCGACACAAAGTGAGAGAGACTCGAATGCTTGGCCCATTGACTGACTGAAATTTGACTGAGATTAAGCGCGCCAGAGTGAACTTCTCTTCACAAGTAAAAATTGAAGTCGAAAAAAAACAAAACACAAGAAGACAGGGGGTTTAGAAAAAAAAGGACAGAAAAAAAGACAAAAAAGAAGATAACATGTACTCTCTCCATGTGATGAATAGATCTACACAGAACAGTACGCACGCACGCACGCACGCCCACACATACATACATACATACACACCTCACACGACAACGTTGATACACATCCCTCTTTCCTTCACAAGAGCAAATATTTTGAAATTAGCCAAATAACTACTAGTAGTATAAAAACTTGAAGTCTTGAAATAATCAAGCCAAGAATGAATATTCTTCAAATAAGCATAAACATAAACGTGAGAAAAACACACAGACAAGTGAAAACAGCATGACAGATAAAGCAGAGAAGAGAGATAGCAACGCAAAACGAACAAAAACAGGCTTACATGATAACAACTACCAAGAGTAAAAAAAACGTAACATAGGGAGAGAGAGAGAGAGTGAGTGATGGGAAAGCGGGGAATCAGTAGAACTACTGAAGAAACAAAGATTATATAATTAATTGATTTTACTACTGATGACAGTAAGTAAACAGGACTAACAGATATATTAGTGTGTATTAGATAAACAAACATAAAAGCTAAGCGCAACTACATATATAAATGAGAACGTTAAAATTAAAAAAGGAAGTGTGCACAAATTGTAATGATTTTAAAGCAAGCCTACCCTACCTTACCTGGCTGCCTGCCTGCATGCAAATCTCTCGTTAAAGAGAGACTCAGAGACAAACAAAGTATGCTCAAAAATGTCCAGAAAAAAGAAACCCCAGTGTTGTGCATAGAATAAGAGTACTCCACAAAACACACATATATATAGGCATGTACGTATGTATGCATGTGTTTGTGTGAGTGAGTGATGCATAAATAATGTTGGCTAAAATCACTACTACTACACAAAAGTGTGCACCCACACACAAATCGAATGTTACCTAATAATATTTTATTATAATATATTACTTATGAATGAATTAGGCTGGATTGGGTGATGCCCACCAGTCACTGTCATTTCTGAACACCGGTTGCTGTTGTTGTTGTTGCATAACAGACCCATTTTTAGATATATTTCCAGATGGACTGGGCGCCGTCACAGAATCAATAGGCAAATTACATTCCATTTGTGAGTGTTGTGATGAGACATAGGCGGCGGCGTTACAATTGTCAGCATTCGATTGGATCCCATTGTTCATAGCTGCGGCTGCGACAGCCATTGCCGCGGCAACTGCAGCTTGTTGGTGTTGATGCTGTTGTTGTTGTTGTTGTTGCTGGGGTGAATGACGCTGAATCCCATTAGACACTGGACAGAATTGTTGATTTTGTGGATAATACTGAACAGGATAACCAGTTTGAATAAGTGTTGTGCCTGGATGAGTCTGCTGTAAGGCTTGATGACCAGTCGCTGAACTTGTTGAACTCAGTGTACTTCCTCCATTCAAATTACCAGCATGATGATAAAGTCCAGCAGGTGACGGGAAGACAACAGTCCCGGTGGCTTCACGACCATTCGAAGAGACAGTATGCGAAGAGACTTGATTAGAGGCTGGAAATACATTGGCTGGATGAAAAGCTTGATGATGATAGGTAGGCGTAGCAAAATGTCCACCGTTGGCAGCAGCATGAACATGTGAATTTTGAAAACCACTATTATTCATAGCATCATTCATATTTCCAGTATTCGATTGCATTGGATGCATACCAGCGGCGGCGACAGCTGCAGCGGCTAAAAATTGATGCATTGCAGCATTTGGATTCGCAGTAGGCATTAGAGTAGCTGTTTGTGGATGTTGAAGTCTAGCCTGATGATGATGATGGAACAGGGAAACAGGCCCTGGTTGTAATGAATTGTTTTGATGGTCATGTGTACCGCCGCCTAGCATATTTACTCGATTAATATAAGCTGAATTATTTTTGCAAAACATTTTATTCGATTGTTGATTTTGTCCAGGTTGAAGTAATGGATTATACGTGTTATTTTGAGGATGTCTAGGAGGTGTGTTACCCAAGGGGAATGATAATGAACAATTTCCCAATAGTCCAAGTCCACCATTAGCTACATTGTTATTGCCAGTGTTGTTATTATTCATCGGTAGAGTACCACCAACATAGCTAATACTCCGGTTACCGTATTGACGATAATCGAATGAGCCATAATTAGGACGATTTCTAAAAATATTTAGAGAAAAAGAAAATGAAAGATGTAAAACAAAGAAAATAGACAGTTATAATATTTTATACTTTTCTTTGGTTGTAATAAATAGTGTTACGACAGAAGACACGGGGCCAAGAAACAGATCGTTTATTGAGAAAATCAAGAGATATTTATAGATTTTTATGTACATTATTATTAGCAGCGAAGCAACGTCTTCTGATTGGTTGTTTTCTCACTGGAAGTTATTCTGTCAGCTCTTTGTGACCGTTTCTTTGAAGGTCAGACCATATATCTGCGAATCGTATCCGCGCACGCAAAGTGTGCTGTGATTGGTTGTTGAGTTCATCAAGGTTAAGCTTTTTTCTGGTTCTTTTCTCATGACCAAGATTTGGGATGTCAACATTGACGTAAATTGTTGTCTACGAATTTTGGCTAGCATGCGTCGGTGGTACAGCGGTTAGGACGCTCACCGACCATGCACATGGTCCGGGGTTCGATCCCCGGCCAACAGACGAACTCCTTTACCTCGCTAAGCCAGAAATAATGCTGGCAAAGAGGGAAGGTTCGGCATGAGGCTAGTAATTCTATCCTGTAAAAATAAACACTGCTTCAGAAACTTCGAGCCTCTAGCTTGAAGCCCTGTGTTCCACGGGAAACGCGAAGGAAAAAAATGTTTTGGCTAGCAGACAGCTCTCTCACCACAGTAGCAATTATTGATCCCGTCACCCAATCACTTCCATGTTACCCTCGGATCGCAAAACTCATCATCTCCTATTCAGGTTCCACTCAAGGACTCGGGCAAGCAATGTCAACTTGGCAAAGAGCTAGGTTGATGGTCACACCCAAAAACTTGGAATCAGTTCATGAAAAACTTGACAGTTAGTTTGAACCATGTAGAAAGGTGCAGGGCTTCCTGATTGGGATCCTTAGGATTCTAAGAACAAATGACTGGTGACTATTGGTGATGATATGGGCTTAAAATCGTTATCAGTGGCGTAGAACTATTCACTCTTCGTGACATCCCACATCCATTAAACCCACATGTTGCTCAACGTTACTCCTCTTTCTCCCATACATTTCTGCTCATATATTTCTTCTTCCTTTGTGTGCTATATATATGCAAGAGTGTGGCAACTCGAACTGCTGAACTTCTATGCAAAGTTGTATGTTCAAAGCAGTCTAAGTCTGTGGTGCATGATGTTACTCAGCAGTCTTCTCAGCGCGTACGGGAGGAAACCGTTGAGTGACATTGACCACTAGGCAGAGGAGGTTCAAGTGGAACCCAAATGGAAAACGACAAGTTAGGCGTGAATCTGAGGACAACATGGAGGAAATCATGTGAAGAGATGAGTGCTTAAAGGCAACCGTTGGAGCCAGCTAAGGAGTGAAGTGGGAGAGCGTGTTGACCACTTCACTGATTTGGGAAGTTGCATTAGCCAACGCCAGAGGGTTCATCACGAATACAGAAGGCTCGTTTGGCATATATGCTAACCTACGCCATTTCTGGCTTAGCAGACGTGACATCCGTCTGCTAATCTATTAAAGGATGTATGTACTGCTAAACAGTTCACTCTGTCCTCCTTTATGACTGAGAGAGATACGGCCATTGAAATTGGAAGATACGAAAAGGCCAGCTAACTGTCTTTGACTAAAGTTGTCTGCATCCTATCGCCTATGTTAAGTGAGTAATAATGAGGTCAGACGTGAGTCGAGTTGAGTGCTATGTAAGAAGAGGGGAAATCAATCGACGAGATTGTGAAGTTACACCGATTGAGATGGTTAGGACATGTGATACACATGCCTAGCAATCGGTCGCCTTCCTCGATGGTCAATGTCAGCTGACATAGGAACAGGTTGGAGAAGAGCCAGTAGTGGTCAAACTAAAACATGGCCTCAACAGTCAATGAAATCCACAACAGTTAGTTTAAGCCAGCCAGTCACGTAGGAAGGTGTAGACTTCCTGACTGGTTGGGGTCCTCGGGGCGGTAAAAACCAATGACAGCTGGAGACAATCGGTGATAGGGCTAAAAGTCATTCTCAATGGCTGGCGCAGATGTATCCACTCCTTGTGAACTTCTTCGATATTACTATTCTTTATGCCTCATATCTCTTTTTACTGTCTCTATTGTGCATTTCTTATACTTTCTTCTCTTGCTTTTGTGTGCTAAGTGAAGTGTGGCGACTCGAACTGTTGCAAATCGGTGCAAAGTTCTACGTTGAAACTAGTCAGTCAGTCAGCTAAAGGGGAATGCAGAAAAACCAGGATGAAGTAGAGATGTGCTGTTATTGAAATTTTCAATGTTTCACTAACACGCAAAAAACTTCTTTGCATTCCTTGCATTCCAAGGGGAACATAGGGTGGTTGATTACAGCCTCTTTGAAATGTCACCAATGGTAATGCTGCCAGTCTCACACTCACTCAACCTTACACCTATTTTCAACGTTTACTTCCACTCCAGTTGGACGACGTTTAAGGAGTATATTGACTGGGAATTAAATCTACACTTTGCAGTTTAACTGCTGAGCATTGATTGCATCACTGAATCACGGATGCATGAACACGCAACACACACGCATAGAGACACACCTCTACGAAAAGTTAACTCATTAACAATGAGATATACTTGAAAAATCGGCATACAAACTGACCAGCCTATATGGTAATGCATAATTACGAGTGAAAATATACACATGCATGCAAACTATCAGAATTACTACCTATCATACCACCTCACTGTATAAATACAATACTCACGTGTTGAAAATTATTCACCGTACGTGCAATGAGCTATGTTAAACAGAATTCTTCAATGGAATAGGATGTCTGGCTATTTTAAAATAAACAAAACGTTCTTGCACAATTTAAAGGTGGGGAGTGGGGTGTATTATTATTATTATTATTTCCTTTAGTTCCTAGAGGAACATAGGGCTTCAGCCATGTGTCTCCATTGCGTTCGATTCTCTGCTAGAGTTTTCACCTGGCTCCAGGTCTGCCCACATGCTTTCATCTCCTCTTCACATGATCTCCTCCAGGTCACCCTTGGACGACCAACTCGCCGCTTCCCTTTCGGGTTCCACTCGAGGGCTAGTCTAGTGATGTCACTTGCTGGTTTCCTCAGAGTGTGGCCAATCCATCTCCATTTTTTCCTGCCTATTTGTTTCACAATGGGTTCCTGGTTGGTTCGCTCCCAGAGATCTTTGTTGCTGATCCTTTCCGGCCATCTGATCTTGAGTATTGAGCGAAGACATCTGTTAATGAAGGTCTGTAGCTTGTTTGAGGTGCTCTTTGTGACACGCCAAGTCTCTGATCCGTATAGTAGCACTGACTTCACATTGGAGTTGAAAATCCCGATCTTATTTTTGACGCTGAATGATGTTGTCCTCCACACAGACTTCAGAGTAATGAAAGCTTGCCTTGCCTTCCCGATCCTTGCTTTGATATCCAAGAGAAATAATAACTAGCAAGACGCGTCGGTGGAGCGGCAGTAGAATGCTCGCCAACCACGCCTAATGTGGTCCGGGGTTTAATTCTCCGCCAACGGACACACGCCTCCTTTACCTCACTCACTAAGCCAGTAATAAGACTGGTGAAGAAGGAAGGTTGGGGACATGAGGCCAGCAGCAAATAAACACCACTGCTACCGAATCCTCAGGCCTCTAGCTTGAAGTCCTATGTTCCACTGGGGGAACGAAAAGGAATGAAAACAAAAGCTGAGAAAAAATCGATACATAGCACGTTTAATGCCTGTACGATGCAGACTACCTGGTTAAAACAGGCTATAAAGTCAACATTGAAGATTCTTTCTCTATCATTCATTAGATAACCAGTGAATTGTCAAAAGTCTAAACTTAGTCTTTTGAAATTTTAATGGACACCTTTAATTAAGTAAAACTAATCGATTGTTCTGAAGATTTACAGCAAAGCAGGAAATATAAGGCAGTCGCAAACTATTTTTTGATATCTCAGTGTTGATTTCGTTACTAAACGACATTCGTCAGAGAACCATTAGAAACGAGGGGGAATACGACAGTTGTTCCCTCCTACATTAGGACAATTCAGCAGTGTGCATCCATTACCCCAGCCACGACCTTCGGGTAACAAGACCAGAGCTTCACTACTAACCATACAGCCCCACAGATCTGATCATTGCTGAAGAATCTCCCTGGATTTCATCAATGATGATGTTGGTTTCTGGTGAAATCTATAGTGAAATTGATTCAAATCCCTGCAAAACCCATGATCTGAATATTTTCTGACAGCAATAAGTCGTTTACATTTGGCAATCAGTCGAAAGAACTACGGTAAATGCATAAGACAACACTGACCGACTGAGATTCAACTGGAGAAATTTGCATAGAAGTCCAGCAGTTCGAGTTGCAACACTCCATGTGTACCAAACAAAAGGAATTCCAAGGACTCCCCAGCCAGGAAGTCTACGCCTTCCTGTGAGGCTCGAACCAACTGTCAAAGTCTTCATAGAATGATGTCAGGTTTCAGTCTGACCACCGTTAAAAGCCCTTTCAAACTTAATCCAATATCGGTTGACATGGCTCGTTAAGGAAGGCGATGATGATCTAGCCATTTCACAGTCCGCTTAACTTCATTAGCTTATCGATCGATTGATTTACCTTACTTTCTTACCTATCGCTCGACGCCCAACCTCAATACTACTCACCATATTATACCACTTAACAGGGGATGTAAAACATTTGTGATGAAAGACAGCTAGTCCTATCATATCTCCCACTTTAAACAGCCACGTCTCACAACAATAAAGGGGAGATAAAGTGAATTGCATGCGTCAGCGGCACAGTGGTAAAATGCTCGCCAACCAAGCAGGTGGTCCGCGGTTCAATCCCTGGCCACCGATGCATTCCTTTACCTCAATAAGCCAGTAATAGGACCGGTATAAAGAGGGAAGGTTGGCGGGCATGAGGCCAGCAGCAACCCCATCCCGTAAAAATAAACACCACTGCTACCGAAACCTCAGGCCTATGTTCCACTGCGAACGTAAAAGAATAAAATTTTAAAAAATGATGATAATAAAGTGAACTGCTGCTGCGCATTACGCGCGACCCTCGATAGATATCCGCAACACCAAGTCAAGATAGTAGCCACCGACCGGGAACATTATAGAACAAGAACAACTTAAGATATTTAAGACAGGATAAGTCTCTAAGTAAAAGAATATTCGGAAAAAGAGGAGTTAACATGCTAAGTTAATAAGCTAGAGGGAAGTGTGTGTTGAAGTGTGTAGACTCACTTTTTATTCATATTCATACTATTACTATTTATATTTCCATTCTTATTATTACGACGAGCTGCAGATCCTGGAGGATAGGTGACACGTGCCTCTAACCATTGCGGTACAATTTGTTTCGATTCACGGAGTAATTCAACCAGATCACGTACTACATTTTGATTCTTCTCAGAGAAGAATGATGTCGCAGAACCTGGTTGACCCATCCTGCCTGTACGACCAATACGATGAACATACTCTTCAATATCTGATGGCAAGTCGAAATTGATTACATGCTGTGAGGAAATGGCAGAGAGATTTTTTTAAAAATAAGAAAGAAAGAAACACCAGTGATACATACCATATATGCAAGATTACAATAAGAAAAAAAAAGATGCATGACTACTCATCACAAAGGATTTTCTCTCATTTACGATTGATTTGGTGAAGCGTTTAATTGTGCAGTATTGACCAAATCACTCATACTTATACACACACCCACACACCTTAAACATCCTGACCAATAGCTGCTACCTTGACGTAGTGGTTTGCATATCGCAACCAGCCAACAAGTTACACTGGCTGGAATTAATGTTCCTGCTGGTCCTACCTACCATACCACGAAGATTGTTAGGATAACGATCAGACTAAAAGCAGTTACCGGGACAGTGTAGGATTTGTCTACACTATGCTGAGGGACAGGGACGTAACAGCAGTAAGGTGTCTCTCTCAGATGACCAGCATACCAGCCAGCTATGTTGTCTCCCCAGCCTGGAGAGAGGTGGTTAGAAAAGGTCAACTCCGAAAATTGTATATCCCGCCTTACCCCTGCTTACAATGGTTCGTATTATTATTGTTGTTCCCTTGGGTTCCTAGTGGAACATAGGGCTTCAACTACACGTCTCCACTTGCTTCTGTCTTCTGCTGTACTTTACACCTGCATCCATGTTAGTCCATACTGTTTCAATTCCTCTTCACACGATCTCCTCCATGTCACCCAAGCACTGACGTCCCACTCGCCGCTTCCCTTTCGCCTTCCACTCGAGCTATGGCCTGAAGCGCGATTTCACCCAGCGGCCTCCTCCGCTAGTGTCCAATCCATCTCCACTCTCTCCTGCATATCTATTGGGCGGCGATTGGTTCTTGTTTTGTTTGTTCCCATAGGTTCTTGTTGGTTCTTGTTCTTTCCGGCCATCTGATCTTCAGTATGGAACGAAGACAGTTGTTGATAAAGGTCTGCAACAGGCTGTTGGAAATATTCTTTGTGACACACTGGCCAAGTTTCTGATCCATCCGTATAGAAGAACTGACTGACTTGACGTTTGTATTGAAAATCCGAATTCTGTTGTTGATACAGGCTGAGTGACGAGGTTTTCCAGATTGGTTTTAGGTTGATGAATGTGTTTCTCGCCTTCCCAATTCTCGATTTGACATCCTTGTCCGTTCCTCATGTAGTTGAGACAATGCTCCTTAGATAAGTGAATGAAGTAACCTCTTTCAAATCCCTCTCGTTGATGGTGATTGGCACTGGATGTTGCTGCTGCTGTTGTTGTTGTTGTTGGTTGGTTATTTTCATAACCTCCGTCTTGTCTATGTTCACCTGGAGTCCTGTCTTCTCTGGCTTCTTCTTCGACCAGTTTGTCGGTTTTCGCTTGTAAGTCTTCGATTGTGTGAATTCAAACATGAATCATCCGCGAAATCCAGGTCTTCTAGGTTCTTCACGTCGGTCCAGGATATCCCTGTCTTCTCGTTTCCCACTGTCTGACACATAATCCAGTCCACCACAATTAGGAATATCATTGGTGATAATAAGCACCCTTGTCTGACTCCTGTGTTTACTCCAGACGCCTCACTGAGTTTTCCGTTGTGGATCACTTGACATGTGCCGTTGTCGTACAGTGATTCGTAGTCCACCAGGAAGTGACTAATACGGAAGCAAACCTAAAAGCCAGTTCAAACATGCAGTGTGTGTGCGTGTGTGTGACCAGTCGACCTTAAGCAGTTGTTGCCTGGGCTCTGCGGTCACGCAGGTACCCCAAGAAGGAAAATCAACTTCCACGGTGTGGACAACTGCCCATACACTTCCGAAAGCACACGAAGCTCTCCTGAGCATCATTCTCCTTTATCCACACATCATTCTTATCATCTTGTTTTCCTACTAGCGCTAATAATATTCTGCAGGCTGGCCAGACATCTGCCTTTCTTTCTGTGACCATAAGCAGTCAATCGGTTGCTTGATGTGCAACAGAAAATAAAAACGATAAGGTGAAGTGAATAATTGAAACACAGGCATAAGAAGTTAACTTCTTTAGTATCTACAGTAAGATTTAAATATTCACGAGAACCTACGGATATTATCCTACAAAAAAACAAGAGAACTACACCACTTACTCGTTTTCTTCACCTTATCATGAAATCGTGTGTGTCCATTCTGGCCAGCTATACACCAGAGGTTCGGGTTCGATTCCCAGCTAACAGACACACTCCTAAACCACGCCTAGTTGGTAGTAATTTCGGAAAGGGGGGGGTCGTGAGGCCAGCAGTTTCATCCCGTAAAAAAAACACTAACCCGCTTAAAACTATAAAGTCTGAAGCCCCCCTATATTCCACTGGGACCAAAAAATAAACTCAGTAATGCCTTTGAAGTGAATACAAGAGTAAGACAAGGCTGTCTACTCTATATGGCTGAATGATAATTCTGATTGTGGTGGACTCGATCATGTGGTAGGCCAAGAGAAGCACGAAGCGATGGGAATAAGTTGAACTGATAACAAGACTCTACAAGATCTGCACTTCGCGGACGACTACTGTCTATTAACATATGGGGAAAGCAACAAGTTGGCACAGGAAACACAGAGGACAGGACTTAAAGGGAACATGGAGGAGACGGAGGTGATGAAGGTAAGCACAAATCACTATCAGCAGAATAAACACCTTAATGAGCTCATTTTCTTCACTTATCTCGGAGAAACATCCTTTCAACTATAGATGAAAAGCATGGGGATGTCAAAACCCAAAATTGGAAAGGCAAGACAAGGCACGCCTTCATTTTTCTGAAGTCAGTTTGAAAATCCTCTGCACTCACAATACAGAGTACAAGATTCAAATTTTTAACACAAATATCAAGTGTGTCACTGCTTCTATATCGACTGAGATAATCAGTATGTCCATCAGACTTCAAACTCTCATCAATAGCTGCCCAACTACGTTGGATGCCGAAGATCAAATGGCCGACCAGAAAGGATTAGCCGAATGGAACTTTGACAACGGATCAACCAGCCTATCAACAACCTATTGACCAACAAATATATCGAAGAGAATAGAGAAAATGGGTCGAACACACTGCAGAAACTAGTATGGGGCACGATGAATTCGGCGTGGGTTCGAGAGCGTATTATTTATCATTATTTAAACGCAGAAAAACTTGGTACAATATGGCACCAAGACGATGCGCCACACAATAATAATAAAACAACATAGATTAAAAGTAAAAATACAAGTAGAGAACGGATAAAGAACTTCATCTGGAAAGAAAACAGTCATACTTAACAAGTTCAAACAGTATTCGTCAACTATCATGAGGAAGGGAAGAAAGAGGGAAACTGCAGCACGTTCGCCATTGATTACAATTCTTGGCCATATCCGATAACGTTTCGAGCCATCTCTCTCTGACTCAAACCAGGGAGACGTGACGCACCAAACGATGCTGACCTAGCAAAAATATCCTTCATCCCACAACGCCACATCATGGACTGACTACCTCTCCACTTTTTCTATACCGTCCCAGGGATAGCGAACAGAAACCTGTACGGAAGCCTCTGGGATGACATTCGCAGCACATGTCCAAGCCACCGGAGCCGGTGTTTCTAGATGACGTCACTTAACAAATGGTGATCTCCACTGCGTACAAACACACGCCGCCAAACCTCAGAATTACTCGCGCGATGATGCCATCGAACGCAAGCAATCCTGCGGAGACAGCTATGATCGAATACGCAGAGCCGCCGCACATCCTCAGCTCGCAGAGGCCAGGTTTCACAGGCGTAGAGCAAGACAGCCCGCACCGAAGCATTGTATACCCAACCTTTGACAGCCAGGCTAACGTAGCAACGGCGCCAGTGACATGCGGGATATTGTGTGAGGAGCAGATGAAAGCTGATGGAGCCAGATAAAGAGGACTGCAGAGAACAGGACTAAATAGAGACGTCCTGTTGAAAGTTCGATGTTCCACTCACTTCACTATAAAGTTATAGTAGTATGAGTGATAAAAGCGGATGGACAGGTTAAAATACAGTCTTGAAAAGAGCACGAGTTTGGGTTTCCACAGTTCTTAACACTGAAGTTAACGTAAACAGATAAGCAATGGTACTAAACTGGACGAAAAGCGACACATAAGAGGAAAGAATAACACTGGATGAAGGACTAATACTGTTCAGGGGCAATAAGCCAATGTTATAGATTATTAAACATCTTGTCACTGGAAGTAGGGTGCCTAGACCAATGAACCACAGTGCTCTACTGAGACCATAAGACTAGACAAAATCACCATGGAAACGTACATATTGATTAGTGTCACTTCAAACTGAAAAGAACTACACCATGACATCAACTGTTCTTCGCAGGAGTAGTGATAAATCACTCTATCTATCATACAAGTTTTTTAAGCGTTGAGTACAGAATAACAAGAACTCTTAAAGTAACTTACTGTCACCAATAAAAAAATACACCACCACAGTAAATAGAGAAACTAACCTTAACATTTGGTATATCCAAACCACGAGCAGCAACTGCTGTGGCAATGAGAATAGGCGTACGACCAGTTCTAAACGATTGCAGTGCATGTTCACGTTCCGTCTGAGGACGCTTACCATGGATTGAAGCAACTGGAAAATTTAAATGGCCTAAAAACTTTGCCAAGATATCAGCTCCACGTTTAGTTTCAACAAACACCAAAGCCAAGCCATCTGGATCTGAAGTAACACATGAAGAACAGTATATATTAGTCATACACGACAAGGCATTAAACATTTTTACAATTTCAAAAAAGAAAGAATGTGAAGGTATGAAAAACAAGAATGCAGTTTTTTAAAATGATGCACTACAGGTTCATTTTTAAGTAGCAAGAATTTGTTCATAGGTGAGAGATACAAGGAATCTCTGAGGGTTTGTCTTTGTATACAAACTGAATGTCAACTTTTGTCGACCTCAATGAACTTTGACCTAGACTTCATTCACACTGTAGATATAAAAACAATTCTGCTTAATCAAAACACACCTGCTGCCTTGATGTGTTGGTCGGGTTTGTCGTCTGTCGCAATGACACAACGAGCAACACTAGTTGAAACGAATGTTTCTGAAAGTTCTACTAACATGGCAGAAAGGTTGTTTTGGTGGTAGTTGAACTAAAAGCAACAACCATCATAGTCGCTTACAATGAGAGCGAAGCCATACTGCTGGCGAAAAGAGGTGTATCAGCAGTAAGGTGTTTCTCTAGGATGACCAGTAAGTCAGCTCTACACAGTCGCTCCACTCGTGGGGCAGATAGCGTTAGAAAAAGGTCAACCCCAGTGGTAAGGTCTTGATATGGACACAATTCAAAAAATCAACTCACAAACAATCCGTACAGGACTGGTCTCAGAAAGCTATTCCCTGAGTTTGCAATGACGTTATGCTAATGCTGTATTTCTGTTTTAGGTATCCCAGGAAGACACCAACCTTCTTGATGTGGGCAGTCAGGAGGTAACAACAACACACACACACAAAGCTCTCTTAACATCAGCATCCACTTGCTTTCTTCCACAAATAGTTCACCTACCTTCTTCTAACATTGTGACCACTAATACAGACCTGAGACAGAAGAAAAAGGCCCTGAGTCTCTTGAAACCACATTGCCAACTTCATATCTGAGCGTTCAACGTCCGAGTTTCACGACAAGTCAGACAACAAGAATCACTTGTCAGAACGTTAACATCTCGCGCTATGGATGGATGTTGTCTTTAGGAGACAGGCATATATATATATAAAATCCAAGTGCAGTTATTTACTTAACCCCACACTGACCAACAAGGCGGATCTGCAAAATTCACCTGACAAGTGTTAGGAGATTCTTCGGTTAATTTGTTTCTAATGATAGGGTGGAAAAATTTCTACTAGACTGAATCCCAGTAGGTAATCACGTGTGTTGTCCGGCTGAATGGATCCGATAGAAGGAGACATTGTGATACTTGTCGATGTCTCTTCCTAATATCCACTTACACCTCAAACAACTGCAGTTAGGATGAAGTAAAGGATGAGTTCTATCAAAAGCTGTCCAGTTTGTTGTCATAAGTAAAATGGCTCAGATACAGTCATTTTAACAGGTGACCATAATGCTCAAGTAGGGAAGCTATGCCAATCAGAAAAGCACATCGATTGTACCTACGAAGCATCATGCCAACGATTCAACAAGGGTGATCGTCTATCATAATTCTGTTCCTACACAGCACTAATTTCAAACATACGGAGAGATGTTACCTCACCTGGTGACCTGAAACATCAAACTGATGACTTAGCTATAAGCCATCTGTGGAAAGAGTCGGTAGGGTATTACCACTCCTTCTGAAACATCTACACAGACGACTCCAATCAGTTCATGCCTGTATTGGACTACGAATAAAACGACATGGAATAATAGACAGCAGTGAAGCCGCTACGCCTCAAGTTTGGCAGGAACATGAAGTTTTTCTTATTATTTAAGGGAGATAAAACTTGACGTGCATCTGAGAGTGGTGGCAAAACTTATCCTGTGGATTTCCGCTGCTTCATCCAAACCGGCATACGTAAGGAAACTGATTCTTGCGAGCTCTGAACATGACGAGAAATGGAAGCTCAAATGCAAGCTGACTAAAAGCTTTCGTAACGACCATGAACAGTGGTGGACGACAAAAGCCAAAAGATGACTGACTGATTGACTGGTTTCAACATAGAAATCTGCACAGATATGCAGCAGTTCGAGTTGCCACTCCCCATTTAGCACACAAAGCAAGCGAAAGAAGTGAAAATAAAAAGATGGGAAAAGCATCATCTACAGCTAATACAAGACAATCTATTTAGACTGATTAAAGACACAGGACGCAAAGAAACCAATGAAAAGTGAGAGAGTTCCCGAAAAGGTCGGTACTGTAAATACTTATCGACATAGATGCCTAGAACAGCAGAAGGAACAACTTAACTAACCCACTGCCATGCTAAATTTGTCCAGCATCCAACACACACCTACCTGAATGGTAGGTACCTAGACATCAGTCCTCCAACTGTAAGTGAGGTTGTAAAAGCAGAAGGACCTGATGGAGTGACTTTAGAGGTGTTTTTGAGGATCAGGATGATAATTGCCAACTGGTTTAACTAAGATACTAATTAATGAATGGGAATTTGAAGTGGCTCCGTTGAAATGGTATTACAAGAGATTACCTTGACCAACACAGTAGCTAAAATTCTAGATTCAATAGTTATGCATAGACTAAGTGATGCAAGGGAGAAACTTACTCGTTAAAACTAGGCTGGCTTTAGGCCCAGAAAAGGCTGTAGGGATCATATCTTCACCCTTCGACAGACACTAAAACATAGGTATACTTACAGGGGTACAATAATTGACATATTTACTGCCCTAAAAATGGCATCTGACTCCATTCGCCAAGAGGTAATGTGAGAATGTCTGACCACGAAAGGACTGAAGAGAATACATCCTACTAATCAAGGCATTCCACTTGAACTCAAACATCCTTATGAGAGAGCTTAAGGAGAGTGCTCATCTAAAGCGATGACAATTAGGTGTTCGTCGCGGAAGCTCCATCTCTATTATTATTTAATTTCATAACTTATATAGTAATGGATATGACATTGATCGGCTGTAATTAATCTCCCAGAGCTATTCAATTCTCATGCTACTATCTTCCTGTGTCAACGTAGTTCTTTTGTATTTTCTTCTTTTCGCTACCTTTGTGTGTTGTTTGAAATATCGCAAAGTGAACAGTTGCACTTTTTTGCAAATTTTAAATGATGCTATGAACTAAATAGATTTGACAGTAGAATATTACCCTCTGTCTGGTTTCAACAACGAACTTTGCATCGATGTGTAGCAGTTCGAGTCGACATACTCCATGTAGCACAAAGCAAGAGAACAAGTAAAAAGAAACATTAAATAGAGACAGTAAACAAAGATATGAGGCAAGAAGAATAGTAGTATCGAAGAACAATATAGTTTCATGGAAAATTATAAGTCACAAGGAGTGGATGCATCTGCGCCAGCCATTGAGAACGATTTTGAGCCATATCACCGATTGTCTCCAGCCACTGGTGTTTACCGTCCCGAGGACCCCAACCAGTCAGGAAGTCTACATCTTCCTACGTGACTGGCTGGCTTAAACTAACTGTTGTAGATTTTATTGACTGATGAAGCCATGTTTTGGTTTGACCATCATTGGCTCTTTTCCAACCTGATGACCCCATGTCAGCTAACATTGCCAGTCAGTCGAGGAAGGCGATGGCTAGGCATACGTAACACATGTCCTAACCATCTCAGTCGATGTAACTTCACAGTCTCGTCTATTGATTTACCCTCTTTACCTAGCACTCGACCAATGCCTAACCTCAATATTGTTCACCCTATTATACCACTTAATACACACGGGAGATAGAACGCAGGCACCTATGATCAAAGACAGCTAGCCATCCTTTCCATGTCTTCCACTCTCAATGGCCAGGTCTCACAGCCATAAAGGAGGACAGAGAGGACTGCTGAGCAGTACACATGCCCTTTGGTCGATAGCCGGATATCACGTCTACGCCAGAGACGGCGTAAACTGGTATATGCGGAACTAGCCTTCTGTATCCGTGCTGAGATTTCGTCAGAGATCAACCCGTTGGCACTGGCTGATGGTACTTCCCAAGTAAGTGAAGCGATCAACGTGCTCTACCACTTCACTTCCTGTTTCTAATCTAGGAGTCGGTGTAGTCCAATCCTGTAACATCATCTTGCATTTGGCGGGAGCGAAACGCATGCCAAACATTCGCAGATTATAACTGAAGGTGTTCAGAAGACTCTGCTCTATTTTGTCAGCGTCTTCACGTAGAAGGACTATATCATCTGCATATTCTAAGTCAACAAGATTATACCCTGGTAGCAAGTCGATTCCTGAGTCTATGAATTGAGTTAGGGTTAAGTCCATTAGTACATCTATGATGAAATTGAATAGAAATGGGGATAGTGAGTTGGCATAGCTGTCGGACACCACTGGTTGTCACCAGTTCAGATGACAACTCGCCATAAGCTCTCACCTGGCTGCATGAGTTCGAGTAGAGTGCCTTGATCAGTGCAATGTATTTTCTCGGCATTCCCTTTACAGCCAAACATCGCCAGAGTACCTCTCGGTCGACAGAATCGAATGCCGCCTTCAAGTCAAGAAATATAACGATTGTTAGACGCCTGTAAGTATGTAAGTAAGTGCAATCAAAATTTAAGTCCCTTCTCAGTTAACCGATGGAGTGGGGGGGTGGGGCGGCTGTTATACAGGTGAAATGGTTTAAGGTCCATGAAACTACCTACTTCTGTTGTTGATTTAAGAAAGGGTTAGGGGTAAGATTGGATGAACTTTACTCCTATCAGTATAAACTCCTGATTACGTCAATTAATATGATTGTGAACAATAAATTGAATTCGCAAAATCATCTAATATATAATACTGTCTCATAGTAGGAAAAAATGGCTAGATTCTTATAAGAAAGTATTGACAATTAGACGGATGAATGAATAAGGCGCATACATTACCTTTTCCTTGCAGTAATCTAACCAACATATCAGGCTTGTCTTTATCTTCCACATTGAGGATTTCTTGAACAATATTCTCATTAGTGCTTCCTACACGTCCAACAGCCAAGAATACATACGAGTGGAGAAAATCACGTGCTAGTGTCTGTAAAACAAGTGTAAAAAAATATATACATTATCATCTAATGAAATAATTAATTTCGATAAGCTGAAATATTTGATTAGATCATCTGAGAGAGTTAGAATACACAAACTAGGACGAAACAGCTGTCCAGTACTCCCAGGTTTTCCAATGGTTCTCTAAATGATGTCAGCTCATGATGAAATCCTCCATGTAATCAAAAAAAGAATCATTCGAATAGTTTAATAGTAGAAGAGAATAAAAACGATCAGTAGTTAAGCATACTTGAATTTCTTTTGGAAATGTAGCAGAGAACATCAAAGTTTGTCTTTTTCCAGCTGGTGGCATTCCATGCTGTTCAACTATACGACGAATCTGTGGTTCGAAACCCATATCAAGCATCCGATCGGCTTCATCCAAAACGAGATATCTGTATTCAAAAAAATTATAATAAGTAAGTAATAAAACGTACCTAATTTGCTCCAGACTCACTTTACCCCTGCTCATCAAATCAACAAGGCGTCCAGGCGTTGCTACAAGTAAATTGCAACCGTGAGATAGATCTCGAATTTGGTTAAGAATCGATGCTCCACCATAAACTACGCAAGGTTTAATGCTGGAACGATAGGCGAACTTTCGAGCTTCATCATAAATCTGACAAGATAACTCCCTTGTTGGAGCGAGGATTAATGCCACAGGACATGCAGCACAGTTTAGTGTAGATCCTTCAGGCGCTTCACAACCTTTGTCTTCAAACAGCATATTAAGTATGGGGAGAAGAAAAGCTGCTGTCTTCCCTGAACCTGTTTGAGCGCATGCCATCAGATCACGCTTTAAAGCAATAATTGGCAATGCATACTTTTGTACTGGTGTAGGATGGATGTATTGTGCCCTGGCCACATTATCTTTGATTATTTGATGCAGTTCAACATCACTGAATGATTTTATGGGTTCCACTGGTGTCCAGTTCGGTCCAGATTGTGTAACTGGTATACTGTCATATAATTGAAAGTTTAAAGCACTTTTCGGTTGTTCAAACAACTCATATTCACTTTTCTTCAAAGGTTTGGGCCACATTTGCTTTTCATTATACTGTTTATTCATTGGACGATGTACGACACCACTAAAACGAAGCAGTTAGTGTTGAATTGTAATATTACCCATGATTTGCAGTTCCATTATCGAAGATAATCGGTGGAGGACCAAACAGGCCAATATTATCAAGTCTGTGAATGGGATTCCATTGATTAAACATCGGATAGCCATTAGACTGTGGTGTCATGCTTTCCGCATTTCCGTAGCGTGATAACCGAGGGGCATTCCGTCTGTGGTTATTGGTTGGAAGGCTTCCATAGGCTTTAAAAACTTGGTCATTTGAAAAAAAGCATGATGGATCTGCGAGTGGTTGTGACGCCTCCCTCAAGTTAAGATAACCAAACTGTAAAGTAAAAAGGATTGAAAGAGATATGAAAGAATATTAAGACATTCAAAAAAATTCTACTTACTCTAATGGCTTCTAATTCGTTAGTCAACACGTGATGCGAACAACTTTGAAGCACTTATGTGGTAGGGGCTATAGTTTGAGATGTATTAGTTAGTTAGAACTTAGTAACTCGGCAGAGATTACCCATACACCATGCCATGCATAGTGCAAAAGCTGATGATACTGCCCAATCACCAAAGGTGAATTATCGGACCTTAGACCCAGTGGATGAAATGCAACGCTAAGATCGGAAGATCACCACTTGGCAGAACCTTATTGAGAAGCTAATTACCATTTTCTTGAAGATCAAAATTTGTATACTTCAGTATAAATTTAATCATACCAAGATTGAAAGCCTACAATGAAGATGCTACAGTCATGGGGTCTTTTGGGTACTCTGAGAGACTCACTGTCCTAAAACAACAGATGATGCTACCGTACTGGTCTGCATCTGATGGATTGAGGATGGGAATTGAAGTTGTTGAATGTGACTTGACCGCTATGGTTCTTTTACGGATTACATCAGCCCTAACAGACACGAAAATAACAAAATCCTATCGGAGACACGAAGAGCCCATTCAACATTTGTGTGCTTACATCATCTTTGCCTCCAAAGGCCTCAGGATGGTCGGGGGTGGGTGCCTTGCGCTGCGGGTTGGCCACCCCTCCGCACACCTCTTGAAATGCTCCCATGTGACCGGGCGTCTTACATAGCCTCTCCTGAGGAAGTCCTACTCACTGCCTTCACGTGGCGGAGGTGTTTTTCACCAAAGTGAGAGGGCGGAAACGGATGCCCGGCGCTCTTCACCGGGTTGACTGTCCATTGGATGACAGTCTAGGGGAGATGGCTAAACCCTGATTCCAAACCTCCAACGACTGGCGTATGAAGCCCACTGGAGCTCACTGGCAGACGTATGGACAACGGGCTTGTTGGATATCCTGGATGTCTGGCCCCATTCAAAAAGGCGTATGAACCGAACTCCGGTCACCGGCTGCCAATGGATAGTGGACTCCCTACTCCACTCCTACTGCCTTGTAGGTCACACTTGGTTGTGTAAAGGCTAGAGCTGCACTCTCAAACAAAAGGCCGAGCGATTCTGGGGACATCACTCGTACCAAATTCCCATGAAACTTCATGAACTCTCTTACAAACGACTCTATAACCCTGTCGCAAAACCTTGCATCAGATCGCCGCGCCTGGGCAGCGATGATTCGAGATGTTCATGAAGCCGGCTCATCCTCCCGTAGGAGATAGCCGAAGTAAAGTAAAGTAAGTACATGTTATCCATCAGAAAAATAGATGTAATATGCAATAATTCGTTTTTTTTCCTACTTCGCAGCCTCTGAAAACGTAAGACTGGCTGTAGACTTTTGGTGACAGTTCAAAATTGTCTGCAGTGGAACAGATGTCACCGCCAAGACTTTGAAACTTCATTTAATTATTCGCTCCCCAGCACATTATCATCTATTATAGTTGTATTACCTTACTTTGTATTTGGTGTTCCTACTAGAGCTGACAGATTGATGCACTTTCGTGGAGAATCCTACATTCTTAAATTAGTCAGTAAGATACTTCACGGTGTATAACCTAACAGTTACTAAACTAGGAATTCAGTGAATATGTCCAGCTTTTTTAGGTTGTAGAATATCTTAACACTATTACACTGAATGTAATGTGGAAATGATACGATCAGCCAAATCCTCACATACTAGAACAGTGTCTGCATGACATCCGTACGTTTAATAGTGTAAGACGAATGTGCATTTCAGGTGAACGAGTCTAAGTCACTGATTCGAGCTGCTATTAACACTACGGAGTATAAATGGAAGAGTAAACCCAGCCATGTAGATATCTGTTTTCGACATAGAACTTTGCACCGTTGTGCAGCAGTTCAAGTTGTCACACTCCATGTGGCTAACAAAGCAAGAGAAGAAAGTAGAAACTTGAATTTTCGTGCTTGAGAACATCTCTCAGTACGGCTAAGTAAAGGTTTAGTGAAAACCATTAACAGTTCGATACTGGACCATCTGGTACAAACCGACCACAAAGCCAGCGTTGAAGAATCCTTCTCTATCATCTACCGGTTGGCTAATAAATTGCCAAAGATATCGAAGCACTACATGCTCCAAAAAGCAGAGGCTATCGCAAACAACCAGTGCAGCGTGTACTACTGCCCTGGCCTTCAGTAGAGACTATAAATTCATGAATTTGTGTTATAATCTTTCCTAATTTTTTGACATTCGGCCTATTTTATGCTGATGCTATTGAACTGTAATCGATTGATGTTACTGATTTGATGTTATTTAAACATTAATGTTGTTCATAACACTAATTCATTCACCATAATGTATACATAACTGTAGAGCCTGATGATGAAGTTATCGAAAAGAGTATTCTTTTTTAATATCCATTCTTTTGACAAGAGGAATAGTAATAACGAATAACAATAGTTTCACTGGGTATTATAAGTCACAAGGAGAGAATGCATCTGCGCCAACCATTGAGAAAGATTTTCAGCCATATTACCGATTGTCTCCAGCCTCTGGCGTTTACCGTTCCGAGGAACGCAACCAGTCAGGAAGTCTACATCTTCCTACGTGACTGGCTGGCTTAAACTAACTGTTGCGGATTTATTTCATTGACTGATGAAGCCATGTTTTGGTTTGACAACCACTGGCTCTTTTCCAACCTGATGACCCCATGTCAGCTAACATTGCCAGTCAGTCGAGGAAGGCGATGACTAGGCAGGCATGCAAAACACATGTCTTAACCATCTCAATTGATGTAACTTCACAGCCTCGTCTATTGATTTACCCTCTTTACCTAGCACTCGACCAATGCCTAACCTCAATATTGTTCACCCTATTTTACCACTTAATACACACGGGGGATAGAAGGTAGGCACCTATGATCAAAGACAGCTAGCCATCCTTTCCGTGTCTTCCACTCTCAAAGGCCGGGTCTCACAGCCATAAAGGAGAACAGAGTGGCCTGTAGACATATCATTTTTGTATTTGGAGGGGATGTCAAAGTGCAATTAAATTTGTCACCCATCGAAGTAGTACACAAACAGACACAACACAATAAGTTACTAAAGTTCTAAATGACAAATGTATTCCACGGAATGATATTCTTACTACTCAAAGACTGGCGAATGGACACTGAAAGAACGTGAATGCAAACCCTAATGGATTTACCTACACTTACTCTCATTTAATTACTATTCATGACATCGATAAGGCAATCAAGTGTGTACTATAATTTCATTAGTTTGCGGGTCCAACAGGACGTGTTGACTGTTGGCATGATGCATTCACACTCTTAGCAATAAAACCATATTACACAAGGAGTTCTCCCAAGACGAGAAAGCCCATAACTCGTTCCAAAATTATTTGTCTGTGAAGAACGCCATGACTGTAAGGCATAGGACATGCGTTCCATCAACTTGCTAGTGCCTTAATCTAACCAAGGTATTACGCCCACCGATGACATCAATATATTAAACCTTGAGATTTTCAACTGCCAGTCGTCCATATGACTTGAAATACTTTCCCCCAGTGTGTATGTCCGTTAAGTAAGGTAACTAGAACCAGAAAATCTACTGTTCATGTCCAGAATGATCCTGAATATACTGCCGACTCTGACCAAAGATGAGTTTCATACCAAAAGCTGTTACCACTTAAAACCGTACAGATATCATCTATTCTGTTAGTTTACAGTATTTACAACAGCAAACTAGCTAATTGTTTTCTTAAAGTGTGTGAATCAGTTTTTTACTAAATAGTGAGGTACAACCAGTCCAATTCATTCAACCGACTTTAAAGCAATGAGGACTTCAAGCAGTAAGTTGATTATACTATATTTACCAGTGAATCTTACCACACGAGACTTCGTTATTATTGGTTTACTGCCCTAGCATTTGACCCAAAAAAACCACAAAAATCCCTAGAATCTGTGTACACCGTGAAATAAAGGAAGAGGGGTAATATAAACGGATAGCTTACACTATTTTCAAGACTTTCCATGGTGCGAGGAAGCCTTTGAAAGGCTACAGAACACGGGTTGACACCATTTTGCACATCCCTCCCTATTCAATGTGTCAATACGCTAGAATCAAGCTTTGATTTGAAACTGGGCAGTAAGTGCCTGTAATGTAAATTTTATGGTCTACAAATCCAGTTGAAGTCACTGGTAAAATTCTTGACATTTAATATACCTTTCTTTCACCTGAAATGCCCTTTGCTATTGCGAGCTTTCTGATATATATATATATGTACCGGTTGACTGACTGTTGTTGCGTTTTCTTATTCTTTTTCTGT